TTGCATGCAAGATACTGAGTCAACAGCGTAGCGATCAAAAGCGTGATCCTCATTATCGCCTGTACTATTCGACACAAATTTAACATTTAGATAGTTCCTGTAAGAAACAGACGGTTTTTACTTGATCCCGCTGTTTTGAGGGTTTGTTGAGAGCTGAAACGGAAAATTATCCTCATTCAAATGAGGGAAGCCGAGATCGCCAGAGTTTTGGCCATGCTTCAGCAGACGAAACGATAGTGCGATCAAAATAGATGATTGTTTCCGAGAATGGGGCTTACAAACTTTATATTGGTAATCAAGGTGCCCCCAATGTAAGACGATTTAACGCGATAGATGTCGTAGGTGCTCACTTCACATAACGGACGTAACGGGTACATCGACGTTTTCGTCGACCCTATGATGAAGCAGTAATTTACGATTATGCATAGAGTCGAGCTATAATCACTGTAATTAAATTTGACTTTTTTCCACAGCCGGTAACGGTATCGATCTTCATCGAGTCAAATATCCAAACTATTGCTGTTCGCACGGTATCGATCTTCATCGAATCAAATATCCAAACTATTGCTGTTCGCACCGTACCCGGTCCATTCCGAGGACGCTACGGGCATCTCAATCAGATTAGAACCGAATTTCTGTGTCGCAGAGGTCAGGATGAGATACCAGAAATTTAAGATGTACGAGCAAGACAGAGGAGATAGATCTCAGCCATGCCTAGGAAAACGATAGATGTATTAGCTGCCGTGTAGCTCTGCGGTTTTTGCAACCAATATTTTTGCGGTAAAACATGTGATCTTTGAGTGCTACCTTCGCTCTCGGCTGAGAGGTACGAAAGGGGGGTCCCTGCAGATTGTCTAAGGGTTCCTTGTGAGAAACGAGGAATCCAAGTAGGCGCAGAGTGCTCTATTGAAAGATACCGGGCCCATTGTATTATACCGCGTGGAGCCCGTGGTCAATGGAGAAATATCATTATCTAGTCGGATCAACGTGATAATTTCAGATATGTCGTTAAATATGAACGATGCGCAAGTGTTCAACGCTGTCGACAGGACGTGCTGGCCTTGAAGATGCCAAAATATGCAAGCTTCGTGCAACGGGAAAGCTTGTGAAAGCGGTGGGGGTTCTGTTTTGCTTTACAGCAAAAGGTGGGAGCGCTGGCAGCGTGAAATATTGTCTTGTGTGAAATTGGATTTGAGAATTGATCGTATACTAGCTATGGTGTGGCTGAATCGCTGTCATTCATTATTCGATCAAAGTGCCTCACGCTTCTTCGACGGTTTGGTTACAATCTTACCTTTCTCACAAAACATTATCTGATTGGTGTGGGTGCGAAGCTGCTGTAGGTTTGGTGCATGCGAATGAGTTGTGCTGACTGTTTGGAGAAGACAATAGTAAATTACAGCCAGGCTATTTTTAGAGTATTTTGCCAACAGGAGATAACGATAGCCATTAAATGCAATAGAAATAAACATTTTTTTGCGCAACTTCCCGGCACGAGATCTATTATTTCAAGCGGTGACTATAAGCAAACAAAGCCATAAGTGGAACGCATGACGTGGACGATATTAATCGAAGCACTTGTGTCTATATACTTTGGTACTGAAGAAATTTGCTCTCGCCTGCTCCGTTTGAGCTGAACAACTCAGAGAGAGGTCGGGAGAATTCGCAGACGCCTTTTGAAATAAAAAAACGATTTGATCTGCGATTTGTCGAAGCAATGCGAGTGTACAGTCCTTCCCAGACAGCAGACCAGTAAATACGCATTCGAGGTGGAAGTGAACGCGCCTCGAATCGATGGAACAAAGCGATGCAATCCATGTCAGACTACTGAGCCATCTCCGGTCGTAGCTGAAATCAGGCATAGAGAGTCACCAAAGGTCATGCGATATGTTTGTGTCTTCGAGGACAAAGTGCGGTGTGTATCCATAAAACCATCGCTTAGAAAAAGTTGGGAAGAACGTCTGCTTTTCCTAGTGGTCGAGTGTGCATACACTTTGTCAATGTAGACTGAGGCTTGTTCAACTGTCATTTCTTGATGAGGTAGATTGCCGGCACTGATAGACGCGATTGCTTAGTAGATATATCGAAGCCAAGAAGATTGGAGCACTGCTGTGCGTATTAGTGTGGATTAGTGGCTCGTGCTAGGATCGTGAGTTGAACGGAAATTAACGATCAAAAGATCTCGTGTGAATTGCTTGTAAGCGTCACAATGAGCGTTTATCGATGATCAAGGAGCCACATTCTTAACGCCATTTGTGCTTACGGTAAGAAGATTGAGGGCACTTCTATCATCATCAGCGGCCGAAACAATCTTAGCAGCGTGCGAGGAATCCTTTTTTCACGGTAACCAAAAGACTTTCAGCGTGTACGTGGATTTCAGCACCTAAAGCTTGGAAAAAGGAAACCCATCAAGCTTGTGCAGCGTATCCGATCCCTTTTGCGAGGGTCTCTGGCATTGCAACTTCAGACCACTGCACGCCGCAGTGGTCTGAAGTCCAACCACAGCATTTGCATTCGCGTATTTGGGGGCAGCAAGGTCAAGTTTAGAAATTTTTCTCGCTGAAGCAATGCCTCGCCAGTGTGATGATAGCGAATTGGCATATACATGAGCAAAAATACAGCATTACAAATGTAATAGGGAGATCGTAATTGCATCCACATGCGGTACGTGGCACCATCTTCTCGCATCCATGTCCAGTAGGATATCACATCCAAAGGTCAATCTTGGGCAGTGCCGGCGCGATCAAAATCAGCGCGAGCGGGCGCCTTTGACATTGTAACTCTTGGTTTGTGGGTCCAACACTTGTTACACGCCTTGAAGATGTCGTGGCAATCATGACACACTTGTACTTTGATCTTTTTGCTGTGTTGGGATTCGCCGAGCCCCTCAGGCGGTGGGACGTGTGCAGCTGCACGGAATCGCTGAAATTTTGCCGTGATTAGTATTCGCAACCGACAGCGCACGAATAAATGTGATTGGATGAACAGCGACTAGCTTCATAATGTATTCCGGCTTCCATGCACTTTTGATATGTTCAACCATGCTAGGCGCCCTCTCATCTGCCTTTGCAAACGTGTCAGCCTGCGTATCAAGCAGCGCCGTGCTTTCGTCGTTGATTATCGATTCAATTACCTTGAGGATAGGCATAATCTTCACCGCATTTTTGATCGTCGCGTGGCTCTTTTCGACGAAAACAGTAGATTCAGGTGAAAACTTTCTATTGACTGTTGACTGACGCTTTCAGCCGTATTGGGTGTCTTGTTACAGTAGAACCCGTCTAGAATAAACCTGTTTGATTTAAAACCCTCTCTAAGTTGAACAAAAGATATGGACCCATGTTGGGCCCATGTTGGGCACCATACAGTAAAACCTGTCTAAATTTAACCTGTTTTATCAAAAACCCTCTCTAAATGAAACAGAGACCCCCAGTCCCAACATGTTTAATTTAGACAGGTTTTACTTTAGCTTGATTTCATATATGTATAATTACATTACAGATACTTTCGTGACTTTATGACAGCAATTTATAAATACCGATCCCTCGGTATTTCTGAATATTTACAAAATTCTCCAAAGTGCAATTCTAATTTTCGATTACAATTGTGCAAGGTTTAATTCCCGACATTTTTGAATGAGTAATATGTATTTTGAAGATATACAACTCTTGAAAATACAGAACTTACGTATCCAGCTTTCGCTTTGGCGCCAAACAAACTCATCCTCATTGTGATTAGTGGCATAGATTTGCATAAAATCAGTTGTTCTGAGGTATAAGGCAACCATAGCGGCACCCATTGTCACATCACCAGCTGACAGTCAAAGCTTCCATACTGTGCAATCCATCCATTTATAGGGTGCAAATTTTCATAATGAAGATTATACAGTCGACAGATTGTAATCATATACCTTTGAACTGGGAACTAATCTCAAATATCACTCACTTAAAATTTTGACTAAGTATGAGCACAGAAAACAAGATCGAGGGAGTCATTCAGGCTGGCAATCTGTACCGCAAACGCTCAGGCGTGTTTGCTAGGCTCACGGGCGGTAAACAACTTGTGTATGTTGAGGCAAACGACAAGCAAAAAAAGGTGACGGTTTATGAGTCGGAGACGAACAAAGCTACGCCTGTTGCCACGTTAGACGTATCCTCTGATGCCACGGTAGAGTTTGATGGATCAACGACGCACGGCATTAAATTGGCAAACTCCAACAACACGGAGGTTTTCTCCACCGAGAGCAAAGAGAAACAGGAGGAATGGCTGAACTCATTTATCAATGCTGGTGCACAGTATCGTGAGGTGTTCAATGTAGAGGATACAGCCAAAATCAAGTCGC